CAGCGTATTTGGGGCACGTTGAAATGTCGTGACCAGATTTATGACTGCACCCCCTGCAGCGATAAGTTGTTTCACCACTGCTTCTCCTCCGCCCCTAATGCGTCGCGACTTCGGTCTCCCTGCGAGACGGTAATAAGGATATGACAAAATTCTCGTATCCGAAGTTATGGCGTCATATGCAGCAATTTTGAGGGACGCATCTGCAAATTCAGCGTTGTATGTCGACACTATGTAAGCTGAAAGGGAAATATCGTTTTCAATTTACGCCATTTCAGTTTTTCGCAGCGCAGCAATGAGATGTCAACACGGAATTTTAACTTGATGAAGGTAGTGCACGAGCAAACCAACAGTTCTAAGTCAACTTTACGCTAGAAACCAAATTCTTTCCGACTCACTAGGAAGATAGTAGGCGTACTTTCGACTACTTGGTATGCCCCGGCGTTCCTTCGCTCATCGTCGCGAAGTTTTGCTGCTTTAGGTACGTAACAACGCCTAATTTTATCGACTTTAAACTTAGCTGGCGTCGTGCAGCTGCGCGGTGCATTATCGACTGAATAGCTTGCTGCAACATTCAAAGGGAGTCGGCCGGCGAAGACCATTGGTCAGCATAACGTTATTGTCGCTTTTGACAAAGTTCGTTTTGCGCCATTCAAACATGGGGTCTGGTATAATCCAGTCCCGTCCTTCGACTACCCTAGCTTTCACAGCATCGGAAGTCAGAACCTTGTCTGACATATCAGTCCAAGCGCACCACTGAACAGGTGCAAGTTTCTCCAAATACTCTCTAACGTCTTTGTGAAAATCTTTCTCGAGTGCATCTAGAGCAGTCTTGTATTTAGTGTGCGTAGATGACCCCTGAACACGGCAAATCACATTTTTATGTCGTTTCCACGAAATCTGAATTCTTTGTTGACATTCATTTTTATAGTCTTGGTACAGGTCCGATAAGGTCACTGCCGATAAATTTTGGAATGGATTTGTGGTGTAGTGATTATCTATAGAGTTGCAGATAATCGCCCGTCAACAACGATACAGCACCTTCGAAGATGATCATGCGACGAACACTGGGTCACGTGATGTATGGCAGCCTAAAGGAGCAAGAGACTCGACGGTGTCACAACCGAGCACTCAGCGGATATTGGATACAGTCCAGATGTCACTCAATCCAGGCTGCCCTTATGTTAATAATCCGCAGCTCGAACGTAGTGAGAACTGTCGTTGGCGCGGTTATTCGCAGCGGTGGCGTGATGGAACAACATTTTGTACGACATCGCTACAGCAACTTCCTGCAACTGACAGCAACTGACAGCAACCGTAGCGCAACCAACAGCAACAGATGTGCAACTTAGAGAATGTCGTTTGTCTGGTATCGCTCAACACGCAAGCGACGACATACATCCAGGAACGACGTTTGAGTGACCGTCACGGTGGATCACTTCACGGTGGACGACACGAGGGGCATTAACGTTCGAGTGCACGTCGTGCAGCTCGAGAAGTGTTCGGCTGAGAGGACACTGGGCAGCAGCATAAGGCGAACGACTGATGGCTTGACAGGAACAGGTGCTCACATCAGTATCAGAGGCTCAGGTGCCCACATCAGTGTCAGAAGATCTGGCGGTCTTAACAAAAGCTAGGCAAGGACACATGATATATTTATGTAGTACACGCGTTAATGTATACTGATGCTGCACTACTTCTCATGACAGCTCGAAGTGACTTCACGTTAGTGTGTTGGCAGTTGTAGTGGCTGTTTTGGCTACTAGTGACGACTGAAATGTTGGTAAGGTCGCGTGACTGAGGTGGTTGAGCTGTACTTCTTCATTGATTGCGGTTGCAGGTGGCTTTGACCAGGCTGCAAGCTTGTCTGTGAATGGTCTTAATGGAACGAGTGCGTTTCTCGACGTCACTCGAGACACTAGCAGCTAGGTTTGTTGCGGTTTATTGACGATCCGCTGCTTGGATCACCAGCCCATGACGATCATTGACTGCAGCGTCTCTCCCAGTACTTTGTACACGGTAGACCCCACTGCACAGACAAACGTTGTTGTGGTTTGACCGTGATTGGACGCGTACAGCCGTCCGGCGCTTTTGGCAGCGTGATAATTACTTTCGGATACGCTTCGGTGGCGAAGAACACTGTGAAGAGATCGGAGTCGAGACCCGGCCGGATCGTCACGGTGTGCGGTCGCTGTGGCAAGCGAAATACCGCGTAATCTGGTGATCGGCTCGGCAGCTGTATAATGGTGTTTGTGCCGCCGTCGCGCACGAGTTGAAACGACGTGTCCGGTGGACAGTGCATGGACGCAAGGGTGCCCAACGTGCCGTTTGCGACGCCTTTGGCGGTGGCGACGTTATGGGTAACTTGCACGGGCATGCCGAGGATAAGGTCTAAGTAGGGCGCCATGCGCCCGAAGCGGTTGTCGGGGAGGCTGAAGACGTTCTTGATGTCGCTGTTGCTGAGTCCGTTGAGCGCG